AAAATGGTGTTGGATTATAATCATAACATCTACTAGCTGACTGATCAAGATTGTTCAAGTATTGTAAAAAAATTTTTCACACCGTGTGTAAAATCAATCGTGTAACATCAACGTTTCCTATAGATGCTAAATAATGTTGGTGAAACTGGTGATTATCTAAAATCTGATTGGCTGTTATATAAATTTTCACCAGTTTCACCAATTTCACCACTATTCACCAAGAGTTCCGCCAGTTTCACCAGCATCTATAATCACGATGTTACTAATGGCTATCACTATTAAAAATCTGGTCCTACTTATTATTCACCTATCGGAATATCTATTGCTATGGTATTGATTAATTTACTGGTACTTCTATATGAAGTGGTAGAGAAATTAGTAACCCAAAAATCTGACTTGAAATAGGTCTATCATGTTGACATAACGAATATGCTGTATAATGGAACTTTTAAGCCAGCACAGGTTTCCGATTGACTGTAGATAGCTTTAATGTTCTACATATTAAATATATACTTGTTAAATTCCTTTGGTTATTACATATAAGTTGAGCCATTTTTCTTTAGTGAGAATATCTTAATAAATGTTTAAATTATCTGCAATAGATACTGTCAACTCTCTCTAAGTCCATGTTCTCTAAGCACAAGTTCTTTCTAAGTGCAATAAAATAGTCTTGACCCTAATTGGAACTTATAAAATAAGTGTAAGTTCTTTATTCTGTAAATGCAAGTTTTTTTTTAACCAATATATATAAAATTCTTTTCTCTAAATGCAAGACATTTACTTGGCTTAATGATTTGTACTTACTATATAAAATGTATTTATATAGTAATTATACAGTAAATATATAAAAATGTTGGAAAAACTCAACATTTTAAGTCATTTTAAATATATAAAAAATATCTAGTAAATATACCAAAACTGTAACAATGATATATTTTCTGTAGATTTTTTATGATTTTTTTTATTGGGTTAAATTTCTTATAATATACTTTATGTTTAAATTGCTTATACTGTAATAGATATTTAAATTAAACACTGATTTTTTCAAGACAAAAATATTTGAAAATCTATACAATATTGACAATATTAAAAATAACTGTGTCAGATCGAAGTTTAAATTTGAGAAGTGTGATATCAAGTTTTATTTTTTTTAAAAAAAAATAAAATGAATGTCTTGCTCATGATTGGCTGAAATTATAAATACTTTATGATTACAGTGCTATCACAGAAAGTTAGAACTAATACATCAATTTTCAATGTAATTCTGATAATTAACTCAATTTAAAATTTAATATTAATACATAGATATAAAAAAAGCTTATACAGGATTAAATTAATAAACTGTATACATATAATATATTTTTTAAAGATTTCTCTATATTATTTCAATAGAAAAGCACAAAAAGTTCGAAATTACCAAGGTCCAGGCCCATCGTTAAATAATTGGCTATATGACAATACTTTTGTGTAAATGTTGAATTTTTTCCTGTAAAGGCATCCAAAATTTCATTTAATAATGGCCGTTATTATATAGTGATTTAAATGATTAGTGTGAAAAAACTAACCGTAGACATTACATAACCCTAGCAACTTTAAAATGTAGACTCCTGTAATTTTCAATCGATATGACTAGCAATTATAAAGACATCATCTTTCTGCTGTACATATTGTATATTATCTTTCAATTTGCAATATACAGATATATATTGTATATAAAGAAGCATTAAAACATTAAACAAATATCGAAATACTTGAAAATAATGGGAAGTTACCTAATACACCAAGTTTTTCATCATAATCCAATGTATTTATCGGTAATTGATGACCAGTATATTCAATGTATTTGCTAGTATATTCTTCCTTAGGATGTAATATGTTGTTAGTCCGTCAGATTTCGAAAGATTATTAAACGTTTCTTCGCATTCTTTAATTTGAGCGACAATTTCTGTGAAATTATCTTTTAAAATATCATCATTCAATATTCTTAAGATGTCATGTATTTCTTCAGAAGTCGGTCTATTATTTAGTCTCGCATCCCAACATTTCATAATCAGCTTAGCTATTACCTTTGGAACGTGCGATGGAATTTTGCTGGACTTAAACCATGCAGAATGTTAGATTACCAGAGACATTTAATACGCTATAATAGCGAAAGAATATACATCTGACGCTGTAGAATATGATCTATTATTTAATACTTCGGGTGCAATATATGGTATGACTCCATAAATACCGTGTTTTGATTTTAATACATTATTGATTGTAATAGCAAGTCCTAAGTCACCTATATATGCACTGCATAATCATTTTGCAATATATTGCCACTATGCAGGTCACAATGAACAATGTTATGAGAATGCATTAATTTAAGATCAGATGCTATAAAGAATAAAAGATTTAAATTTTCCTTCCATTTCATTTGTGCAACAAGATTAAGATTTTGACGTAAGGACCCACCTGGGGCATATTGCATAACCAGTAGATAATCACTGGTAGTTTCATCTCTTGATGCTCCATGGCATTACAAAAATGTAGGATTTTTGATTGCAATCTCATAATATGCATTTAGCTACATAAATTGAAATTTTTTTTTTATTAGAATAAAAATAAAAATACGGGACACAGAGAAAATTTATTATACCGCTTTCATAAATTCAGAACTGTCTTTTGCTGATCCATTAAATATTTTCAGCGCAACGATTGTCTTAATTCTTTCGTTTCAAAATAATGTGTCTACTCAGCAGAGCATATTGTTGCAAATCCACCTTTCCCAATATTCTTATAATTTTTAGATCATTAAATGGAATCAAAGGTATGGATGGTGCATTTTTATGCATGCTTTGTTTAGTGTTGTTAGTCGAAATTATTTAGACATTTAGGCATTTAGACAAATTGAATTTAGACAACTTTAACTTTGTCATTTTTTAAAAAATCACTATTAAAACATAAATAAAACCTAATTTAGATATTTAGACATTTAAACAAAATTAATTTAGAAAAATTTTGACATTGGCAAAAACAATTTTGACTAACAACATTAGCTTTGTTTTATAAAGTTGTCAATATCAAAACTTTCTCTATTAGGTTTTTATATCAGATGTTTTCTAAATTTTGACTCCATTCAATGGCCTTTTTTTGATCTTGAGGCATTCCAATACCATTCCGATAACAGATACTTGACCAATTAAATTATCGTTTTCGGCAGATTTTAAATACCATTCAAATGCTTTCTTTTCATCCTTTTCAATCCCTATGCCATATTCGTAACAATGTCCAACATTATTCTGTCCATTCGGTTCATTTTTATCAGCGGAGTTTAAATACCATTCAAATGACTTTGTCTCATTTTTTTCAATGCCTATACCAAATTGATAACAATATCCGACATTTAATTGTCCAGTGGAGTTATTTACTTCTGCAGATTTCAAAAACCATTCAAATGCTTTTACTTCATCTTTAACAACACCTATACCATTCCTATAGCAATGCCCAAGATTACATTGCCCATTAGGATTACCGTTTTTAGCCGATTTTAGATACCATTCAAATACCTTTTTTTTTATTCCTATACCATTTTCATATAAGATTCCAAGATTAAATTGCCCATCAGAATCGCCACCTTCACTTGACTTTGAAAACCATTCAAAAGCTTTTACATCATCTTTAGAAACCCCTATACAATCTTTATAATAACCTCCCATAATACATTGTCCATGAGAATTACCGCTTATGGCAGATTTCATTAGCCATTCAAATGTTTTCTTTTTATCCTTGACAGTACCTACACCATTTTTATAGCAGTATGCAAGATTATTTTGCCCATCTGAATTACCGCTTTTAGTCGACCTTAAATACCATTCAACCGTTTTTTTTTCATCTTTAAGATTAAATTGCCCGTGTGAATTGCCGTTTTCTGCAGATTTTAGATATAATTCAAACGCTTTTTTTTCATACTTAATAGTACCTATTCCAATCATAGTTTGTCCCCTAGAATTTCCACTTGTTGCAGATTTCAAACACCAATAAAATGCTTTCTTATCATCTTTAGCAACACCATCACCACTATAATAATATGATCCAAGACTATATTGACCATATGAATGACCACCTTCGGCCGACTTTAAAAACAATTCAAATGCCTTTTTATTATCCTTTGTAGTGCCAAATTCAGTTTGATAGCCCGTGTAATTGTACAATTTTGTCTGTTGTACACACATTGTAAAGGTGGAAACAAATCCTACGTTCATTTTTTTTTAATCACACATTTCTTGTCACGTTTTTTATTTTCTTATTTGTTTAATTATTATTCTTTTACTATCCATATTTAGGGAACGCGTACGCTAAATTAGAATTTTTTTATGGTTAAGGTTAGAGCATGTTTCATAGATAAAGACTAAGGAATCACTTGAAATTAGATCATGAAAATACGTTATTTTCATATGCGCATGTCTAATTGTAACATGCCAATAATAACATAAACATTGCGCTTTGATTGCCGATATCTCATGTTACTATTACTGTATTACGATTAGACATGTAGGTGCACCAATCAGATCTCTTCAGACAATCGACACTCTATGAAGCCACCTCTGCGCACTAATAAAAAAGAGTCCTCGCAAAATTTTGATATAATACAAGCCCTACTCGGTCATAGCTCTAACCCTAGATTAAGGTTTTATTACTTTATCGTTATGACGCTTTTCAAATTACTGTGATCAGCAAATTTCAAGTATCACACTGGGAATCAGAAATCTAAAATAAATAAATGCAAATTTGTGATTGGTTGGAAATAGTTTTTAGCCAATCATGTATTTGCATTTATTTTAGATCGAACTTGGGAGGAAACGTCGATGTTACATACTAGACTAGTCATGGCAGAAAAATGTCGCGATCACGTGATCGACGATCAGTTTCCGACCCGGCCTATCATCGATCGACCCAGATTTGTGTCATGATAACTTTATACAGCAACTAATATCGATATTTGTGAGCAACAAAATTTTAATAATACATATGTATACATTCAATAAGTCCTTATAAATCTTACGCAACTAGCTTGATAGAAAAGTATAAATAAATTTATATTATTTAAATAAATAAATTATAAATGATGTCCGTACAAAGTTATAAGTACATTATTAAAATATATATATTCCGGATATATACATGCATTTATAGAGACTGTTAGTGACGCAAATGTTATTACATGTACATTCATGTTTTCTAGTTATTTTATAAGTTCGAAACCCTTAAATTAAAAGCAATCTTTGTGCAATATTACTCTAGAACATATTCATGTCACGAAGTAAATTGCGGCAGTACTAGAATTTTTTTATTTTATTATTTGAGACTGCATTTGTAATTTATAAAACTCAAGCATTGAATCGATTGCCACATATCACAACCAAAATCCAATTATAATTAACGAATAAAAGATGTCAAAGTAATGCATGTGGCTAAGTAGAACGCCGCGATAATATATTTATGGCAAGGTATTGCTAAAGTAAATTGCGGCAGTACTAGAATTACTACTAAATATGATTTTTTTATTTTTTTTATTTGAGACTGCAATTTAATTTATAAAACTCAAGCATTTAATCGATTACATATCACAACCAAAATATTATAGTAATTAACGAATAAAAGATGTCAAAGTAATGCATGTGGCTAAGTAGAACGCCGTGATAATATATTTGTGGCAAGGTATTGCTGAAGTTCATATGGACACGATACCGTGTAAATATAATCATTCATGACCATTTTATATTTCAGTTTTGCTCAAAAATATGATGTAGCATGAGCATTGTATGTTTATGATAATTGGAAATAATTGACAAAAAAATTGCTGAATTGCGGCATAGCATTGCCGCTATGTAATGCGACATTTCTATGCCACAGTCAATAATTTTTGCTGTCAACTAATAATCGAAACATTAGCATTTAGATACGTGTAATAATCATTCATGGCACTTGAACACCCTTATTAAGTAAGATTAGAGATATAAATACTGAGGAAGGATTCCAATCCTTTCTTAGTGTATGTTTCGCTTTTCTAACAATTATAGTATCATTATAGTATATTAGTAATCTTAGAATTGCAATATTCATAAATTATAAAAATAAACACATTAAAATAAATACAAATAAAATAAACTAGAAAATGGATACTCAAAATATTATTGTCAATGCTGATGAAAGCAAATATTGTTCCCGTTGTAAAAAAACTAAACCAGTCATTGAATTTACAAAGCAGTCCGGGGGTAAGACAGTAACATTTACCAGATGTAACCTTTGCAATGAACAGGATAGAAAAAGTAGACAAAATGCTAGAGCTGTCGTTGCTAAAAGTACTTCATCTTCAGCCCAAAGTAGGCAAAATGCCAGAGCTGTTATTGCTGAAAATACTTCGCCATTGATCCTAAATTATGATGAAAGTGATGAAACCGGAATTGACAACGAAAATAATGAAGACGAACTTTTTTATGATTTTGGTGATCTTGAAGAACTCGTGTCTGTTAATTTCAAAGATAGTGAAGAAAAAAATAACCATGTCAAATTTTCTATAAAAGTAAAAATTGAAAGGGAATTAGTTAATGAGAATATATTATTGCCTGAATTTGACCAAAATGAAGAAGCTGAAAAATTTCATAAGATTATTAATATCATGATTGTGCCTCTTCAAACAGAATCAGGGTATTATTGGGAGCTTCAATACTTGTATGTTAATAAAAAAAATGGGCAATATATAGGATGTGCAACAGCCCATCTAGGTTGTACACAAAAGCTTGAACGTAAGTATAAAAAACCAGATGAACAACCTGTGAAGCGGGTAAGTGAAGTGCATTCTGCTATTGAATGCTATCCATGCCATGGCACTATAACAATCAAAATAGACCTATGTGAGCAGATGCTAAAATATCAATAAAGCATTTAATTGCTCATGAGCATCCTACATATAGAGAAACAAATTTATCAGCAAGTGCTATAGCTTAAATAACACAAAACATTAATTATAGCTCACGAAAAGCTGAGTTTTATAAAAGACTTTGCGATAAAAATCTAATTGACCCATCAATTCATACTTACCAACAAGTTTATTATTGGGCACACAAGCTTTCAGCAAAACTATACATATCTGATATAAGCAATCAAGTAAAGTCAGCAAAAAATTTCTTAGAACAAAAAGAGCTAGAAAGTGTAGGATACAAAGTCATTCAATATCGAGAGAATGATTTTGTACACTCACTTGGATTCACAACCCCATTCTTTTATAACTTGAAAAAAGATCAAATTAGTGAAATCGTTATTGATTCGACATTCAAAACGAATCAAGAACGATTTGAACTATTTTTAGTAAACATTAATTGTGGTGGGTATAGTGTTCCACTCGCGTATTTATATGTAGATACATATGCGGCATCGGAAGAACTTCTTTTGGATCCCAACAATGTTGTACACACCCGAATTGGTGTGCTTAAAGAGTTTTTTGTTAATTTGCGAAGCGAAGGGGTTTTACCATCATTCATGCTCTTGGACAAAGATTCCGGTGAAATTTCTGCTGTTCAGAATGCATAGTTCCAGACATCAATAATCCAACTTTGTCTTTAACATGTAGAACATGCAATCGAATGTAAACTAAAGAAAAAAAATCCTGTAGAAGTCAGTATTCTGTACAAAAAGCAAATGAGGCATATCAACAATTCACCTTTATAGATCTGACCTGGCTTCTGGATGGACAACAAAATGCTTTATGCCCTGAAGAATTTATAAACAAAATATTAAAAATGATCAAAAGACATGCAATATTACACCCACTTATTTCGATAGATAAAGATATTTTTTTAACAACAGAACAAATCTATTATCAAAGTGTTTTAGAAACTTACCAATTTTGTCGGCAGAAGAATCTTTCTAAGCTATGGGGGTATCTATGGGTGAACTGGTACAACAAGAAGGACTGGACACTTTTTGTCCGAGCATCCTATTCTAAAACCATGCCGATAGCCAGAACTACTATGATTACTGAATCGCATTGGCGTGTTTTAAAATATGATTACAAGTACAATTGCAACTGACCACGTTTTGACTACCTAACTCAAATTCTTATAAAAGAATTAGTACCTGATATGGAATATACTTGGCGAAGATACTGCTATAATCGCAATCTTCCATCATGGTAGGATTTATTTAAACATGATTGAAAAGCCACTTTAGAAAAAGGTATTGATGCAGAAGACAGATATCATACTGATACAAATATCTGGGTCTGTTCATGTTCTGTTTTTATTAAAAGCCCCTACCTGATATGTAAGCATCTAATAAATAAATATACCACGGAAAATCCTAGCTTTTTTCCCAGATTTCTTGCTACAAAAAGATGACATAATTATCCACTAATTGTATTTGGTGCATTAAACCTTCCGAGAATTAGTTTTGATAATAATCTGTAGAATAATGTTTTCCAAAATAATAGTTCAGAGGTTGAAAGATCGGAAAGAACACTTAATAGTAATATAAGAACTTTTATTTCAGCTTAACACGCAATCATCGAAAGCAGGAAAGCAGAATTAATAGAAAATATGAAAGTATATGAAATGTTAGTAAAAATTATGACTGAAAATATTAATAACAACAAATTTTTTGAAGTATACAAGACCTTAAAACAACCTCTTGTTACTGAGACACTTGCCTGCACTGAAGCTTTAAATGCTAAAAAACAGCAACAAACCTGGAACCCACCAAAAAATAAAAAATTAGCTTTCTGGTTATGGTAATATCTTATCAGGTTGACCATCGTATTATTATATTGATATTCAACCAACATCGTGATTTGGAGTCTGAAAAGGGGTTTTTTTTCTACTTCAATATCATTAGTTTTAGTGTTTTCTTATCTGTAGTTGCAAATGCAATAAACGTTTATGTTAAAAAAAAACAGTAAATAGAATTAGAATCTGCGCTTTTTAAATAAAGTAATTCTAAAAAGAATTAATCATGTAAAAGATCAATTTTTTTTTTGTACTGATTTAAATGTCTCTTTAACATGAGGAACCGTCAATGTTACACGTTAATCCTTCACACGATGTAGTCAATCAACAATAAAATTATTTATTTTGTGTTTACTCTAAAATGTATGTTATGGATATAATCCCTCGCTTCGTCATTCACACAGGGTGATCAGTTAAACTGAAATTATTTCCGGAGCAGAGTGAAGGAACTCAAGTCCAGACAATGGGTAGAGATATTAGGTTCTCTATGGATTTCAGGGAGCCAAAATAAGATAAAAAGTTATTTGCAGATTTCAGTGGCGTATGATGTGTATTATAAATTTAAGGTTTAAACGTAGCACTTGATTTATTGGTATATGACGTATTATACATTAAGATTGTTTAATTTATTTTCTTAAACATTAAGATATAAGGAGAACTAATTATTTAAATTTTTGTGATCTATTATGCAAGAGAGCAATACTTTACATTGCTTAGTAGATCTATTAATTTATAGTTTGTTAGTGAAAATTTTTTAGTGTAAACGTATAACTATTATATACTTATCTATACACTCCATAAAAATGTAAAAGTTATTAACTTCTGTAAAATAAGTATTTAAAGGCAAGTTAGCAATGTGAATTAGGTTAATACGATGTAGTTAAATCATGATTAGTAACTTTAAAAGTTCGTTTACTAATATGAAGCGCCCAACGGATCCCGTTTATATGTAACTTCAAGTTTAATGGATATAATCCCTCACTTGATGTAACATTAAGTTATAGTAACACGATCGATGATCGGCCGGGTCGGAAACTGATCGTCGATCACGTGATCGCGACATTTTTCTGCCATGACTAGTCTAGTAGATGTTACACGACTGATCCATTCATGTGATTTTGTGCTTACCAACCAATCAAAGCTAATCTAACCCTAATGGTAAGGCCAAAATCACGTGAACTATTAAATGGTTCCCACAAAAAAGTTATTTTCAATACCACTAGTACGTGTTATGATTATAACACCATTTTATTATAATAAAAATGAGATGTACTAGCGGAATGCTCTGGTATTGTAAAATAATTTCTTTATATGTGTGAAGGTAACATCGACGTTTCATCCTATTCCCTAGTCGACGATGCTAACGCTAATAAATTACACAATAAGTAGGGTTTGGATTAATTAGCGGTTACATTAAATTTTTTTTTAACTTAGCCATGGAATATGAAAGTTTAAATTGTTCATGTTTTTTAAACACTTGCCGATTTATCGTACTACAATTCTTTGATGCTTTATGCGAAGAATTTATCTGATTTTTAAATTTTATTATATGTGCATGTAATTAAAAATATTCAGCAATGCATAAATGATTGAATCGAATAACTAGTTTTTCATAAAATAAAATAAATGATTATACATAAAACTGTTTTAAATAAAATCTAATTTTAAAACATTAGTTGTAACAGATAAATGAATCACATCTTTATACGGTGAACTACCATAAAAAAATAATTCATATAATAAATACATTATTACACCTATTTACCTTTTTTTTTTTACATACAATTTTTCCCTTTTTTTGTTTTTTTTTTTTAATAAATATAAACAATTATTCTGGACTAATAATACATTCCACCAATTCACTAGCCAACCTAGCATTATTTTTCATCTTTTCCCTAGTAACTGATTGGAAGGATCCACAATCCATCAAGTGATTAAATTTGACTTCTTCTAAATATGAAATATGATTGTCTTGTGCTCTTGCTAGTTGCGGTACAGAAGCAACAGCGAGTAGTATAGATTGCACGGAATCTAATATCGCAATTGTGTCACTATTCGTGACAATTTGAATCATTTTGGGTTGTAATACATCAAAGCTACATGAAAATAAAAGTTAAAGAATAACAATAAAAGAATTCGAATATTTAAAAATCAACCAATAATATTTAATAATGCAATTATTTTCTCAAAAAGAAAAGGATACAATAAAGAAAAAACTTCTGGCACCATAGTCGCAGCTTCCGCCAGAAACCCGTATAAAAACAATCGTTCGGGCTCATGTTCTGCATTCTGAAGCATAGTAACCATCAATGAAACTAAAAGCAATGCTGTTTGGTTATCAGGTATATCGAGTTTTCCAAATATCGGGAAATATGTAGTAGATAATTCCGAGTTATCAATGTCCATGTCAAATATTCCACACAACCATAACAACTCTTTCATATCCCCATTTTTTGCAGATAATGGTAATAAAGCCGCTAGATATCCTAGCATTGAAGAATGAATCAGATTTAAATTAGGATCTATACCTTTTGAGGCAATATCCAAAAATGCAGTTAGTACTTGATGGGTACTCGATTTTGTTGATGGATTTTTCAACCCCTTTAATAGAGCTGCTGCAATAGCAAATGAAAAATGTTCATAATTAATTCCCGCTTCCCTATCCATTTCTTCAGATACATGGACTAACTCCCTTCTTGTTTTTAACAGTACAGTTGCTATATCCTCTGTGGCAAAAAAGTTATTCATTTCATATGATCTTAATACAACTTGAAGAAAGTTCACAGCACTTGGAAATATTGGTATATGCCCTATTTGGATTAGTGACATTGATAACCAAAACATATATTTAAGGTACAAAGATTCTTTATCAAGATTCTCAACAATTTTTGTTAAACACATGATTATGCTTATTATAAGTGAACAATCGTTTTCCGAAAATGAGTTCAAGGCCCTTTTTAATGCGACCAATATTTGATATAATAGGTCATCATCAACCTCTTCACGTGCTAAACAACCTAACGCAACGAATGCACGTGGTTGAATTGCAGGATTGTTTTGGAAAGCTGTACTTGCAACGAGTCCCATCCATCGTGCCCTCCACGCATTTGATATATCTATTACAAAAGTTCGTTAAAAAATGCATAACCAATATTAAATTTCAATTATTATATAAGAAAAGCAATATTTACCAATAGAAGGTGCACCACAAATAATGACTTCCAACAATGCTTGAATTACAGTTTCTAAAGAACTAAGAGGCATAGTATCTGGCATGTCACGCGTAGACTCTGCTGAGATCAAAAAAGCATTGCCAGGAGAATGATTTAATCCGAAAAAGAACTTAAAATTAGGTTCAGACAACTCAGTCAATAATAGTGTTAATCTCCTATAATTATCAGGTGCTAAAGGTTGTGCTGTGCATAACGATTGAACTAAATTGACTATAAGACCATGGACTGATGCTCTAATTAACGGTGGTCCAGTCGCGATTAGTATAGAAATAATATGGAACAATTCGGGTAAGTAGATTTGAACATATACACGATTGCTAAATGATAACATCAAGTTAAATCTAATCAAAATGGCAATTTCAGTCCACGCTTGATTATCTGTCAGATTTCTCGTATGATCTTGCGATGTCTTCGCAATAGTCTTAAATTACAAATTGAATTCAATTAATACATACAAGTGTAAATATATATATCAACACTTAAAAAAATATTCTTATTGTATATAGTTCTTACATTTCTTAGTCGTGCAATAATTTTGCCACGAACATTCATCGATGACAAAGTAATCATCGTGTTCGCGACTATTTCTGCTTGGGCAGTTCCAATGCCAACTTTAACGGCATATTCTACAAATGTATCAATTATTAAATTTGTAATTTCATCAACTCCTTTCAACGTGTGCCATATATTCGATTGAACTGCAGTGTACATCTATACCAAATAAAAGATTACGAAGTAAATCAAACGTTCATATTTTACATTCATTAAGCATAAATGATAAGCTTAATATCTAGCAAAACTTTTATACCTCTGTTTCTCGAACAGTTAAATCAATTAATTTATGCAAGATCAGTTTCGTATCGGCAACACTATTCTGAGTTTCAGATCCATTTTTACCATAAAATGCTAAATTAGCAAGCCAAGGTGCCATATACTGAAGGCACAAATGTTTTTGAGATGGATTGGATTTGCTGAAACCAACGAACACTTCCGTAAGAAATTCCAAAGTTAGATGCGTTTCTGTTATCGCAAGCCTTTCACTTAATTGTTGAACAAATGTAATATTATTTGCAGGTATGCACAATCCTGTATATAATAATGTTATAAAAATTAGAAATGATGTTCATAACAACCATTACAATATTTAAAACCAGAAACCTTTTTACGTATGCACCAATTTTAAAATTTAAATTAGAGCTTACTTTTTAAAAACTTTAAGATCAGATAACTCTTATTACAAGTTTTTAAAAAATAATTTTATTACCACCAATCAGAGGGTTACGAGATAAAGCTCGGTCAAATAAGTGACACACCTTAGATGTCATACAATTGGTTAGATCTATGTCTAATCATTTGTAGGTCACTTATTTGACCGAGCTTTACCTGTGACTGGATTTGAATCGACGAACATGGTGGCAATAAAATTATTTTTAAAAACTTAAAGATTAAAAGTTATTTGATCTTAAAGTTTTAAAAAAGCCTTAATTTTAATCCTAAAAACTGGCGAATATGGAACTTAAAATCCATGTACCTTTAGCACTAAGTAGCTGGTTACCGACGTCAAAATTGAAGTTGAGGCTTAAAGCCACCAATAGATCGTAAGCTGCCAGTCTTAGATTTGGATCATCGCTTCCTATATTTAATAATGCCATATTTAACAGGGTGCCTGGAACACCATTTGGTCTAAGTACACTTTCGGTCACCGTATTTGGTCTAACTATTTGGTATCTTGCCTATTTCAAATTACAAGAAAAAACTTTAAACTCTGAAAATAAAAACAAACAAAAAATCGACCACATACAAACCTTTGAAGTTCTGATAGCCTGCATGATAAGTTCTTTTCCCGGACTAGTGAACGCAATTGATGGTCTACCACGGTCCTGCTTAATAATAAACTCGCCTTCATTATTTCTACGAGACGAGTTAGCCACATCGTCAATCTCTGAGATTTGATAAACATCATTAAGAGTTGAACTTAGCCCATTAAATAGTTCTTGACGTCGTAGCTGTGTTTATCAAAAAGAAATTTAATAATTTAATTTAAAAAGACAAATAACGAGTTAATTGAAATGTTAATTGAATGATATTTACCGTCAAAACCTGAACATGTTCATTGCTAATCTTCATAGTTACAGGAACCTGTGATCTGTAATGTGATACCCTATTAACATTCGAATAGGTAACACTAGAATCCGTGTCAAGTTGAGCTATAAAGTGTATTCAACTCATTATCAATTTATCACAACCTCTTTAGATAAACAATATATCATATAAAAAAAAAAAACCACATACTTGTTGTTCTTGGTAACCTCATATCATTATGAGCAATATATTGAGAAAGTTCATTTAATGAGCAACAAAAATGTACTCTTTTTACGAGATTAGGAGTTAATGGTCTTGCCAACTTTTTTGCAAACTTTTTGAATGCACTGTTGGGATTATACAAATATATAGCCAATAGATTTTCGATAGCGTCATATGGAAATACTTGTACAAAGTGTTGAACCCATTGAGCTTGGATTTCATTAGATGGACCAAACTTGGTTAGGTCTATTAAAATTTCAAATGGTCTGGCCATGTGTGATTCGATGGTCTAATTAAATTTGAATGTAAGTTTTATTAAATAAATATATTGTAACCAGTGTTGGGCAAATCAGTGGTCAAGCAAAAAATTGCTGGTCAAATTGGTCTGGTCAAATTGGTCAATTGGTCAAACTGGTCAAATTGGTCAAGTTATTTATATAAATATAATATATTTATTATATAATAAATTATATTCAAAATGCTATTTGACCGATTTGACCAGTAAAAATTCTTTGACCAGACTGGTCAAATGGTCAAATTGGTCTGGTCAAATGGTCAAACTGGTCTGGTCAGCCCAACACTGATTGTAACCAATTCAAACATTAAATTTTAAGCATAATATCATAAGGATTTATAACTTACGTGAAGTACGTGATACGTCAGCAATTCAATGTCTGTAGCTTCGACATCAAGACGTCTAGCAATATAATAAAACACTGGGCGTCGTTGCTATATTATAACAATAATATTATCCGTATTATTCAAGCATAGACGTCATATCATCAAGTGAGTATTAAAAATTAAATACATATATACAATAACTTACCAGAGATAATCCACCTTCATAAAATATATTCTTGTTGATAATCGATTCTGTGCTTTTAAGAGCATTCCTTTTCATAAATTCGAGAAAGAAGTGATTATTTGGCGCAAATGATTGAACGCTAACATTAAAAGATTCTTTCTTTTGAGATTCCATTGGGAGACCTAATTGTGCTAGCAAGGTTGCTATTCGATCCAATGTTGCTTGATTTGCTAGTGCAATTGCCTGAGCTGATTCATCATTAGGCTGTCCAAAAGACTTAGAACGACGATTCTGAAGTTCTTTATACATCTTATCGAGATTGTCATGTAAAAGTTTATGTAACATCCTCCGATCAATGTCGTCCAGTCTTCTGGGTGGTGCATCAATGCTGTTAAGTTCAGAAGTTGGTGTAGATATTGGTAATTGCTACATTATTTTGAAAAAATATAAATATATATGTATATATTGAATTATATAGTTGGAAAATCATAAAATTCTTTAGATTGTTTTAAACATACGGAAATTCTCTCTAAATAAGCATTCATTTTCGAAATATTTTCAATAATAAAATCATTAAGATCACTCATATGCGGTTCTTTTCTAACACCATTATTAGCAATAGTCTGGACAACCCTTGTAACAGACAATAATGCGCGCTTAACCCTTTGACTTTCAATAGGTTTACAAAGATTTTCACTATCTGGAGAAGCAATCGCAGGATTAAAAAATCTTAGAAATATAAATGCTCCAACTGCTGTGTATTTTTTTAACGGGTATTTCATTTCAACTATTCTAGAAATATTATAGCACACATGTCGAAGTGAACTAAATAATATCAATATACAGAAAAAAATATTAGAATGAGAAATGGGTGTCAATTCACACACATATACAAATATATTAGCATACTTTGGCATCATATGAGAAGAATAAATTGCATTTAAGAATACATCAATTGTGGCCTTTAAATTTATTTTGTTTCTTTCAATCTCAGCAGCTGTATATTTTCCTGGATTTAAGTCACAGTCAAAATCTTCAGGTTTCGATAGTAAGTCATTTATGGGTGGCTGAAGCGTTTCTTTCAAATATTCTCCACCATGGACTTTAGCAAATGCACATAATAATTTCAGTGTAAAGCTAGTGCCTCGGAATATTTCTTCTTCATGAGCTGCATTAAAAATGATTAATATAATCTTAATAAATTTATTATTTACGAGCTACAATATAGATAATGATAATTACAGTTATTGTACACTTCTCTCTCGATTAAATAGCTTAAAAATGGTATCGTTTTATTTTTTGAATCAAACACTGCAATCAAAACACGCGCAAGTTCATCCGAATCACTCTGAGGGCATGCTTCACAAAGCGAAAGTGCCACTTCAAAATCTGAATTTGTTACCATCTATAGTAACAAAAATAAATACACCTTTAATTCACATATAATTATTTAAAAAACAATCATTGCTATCACCTACATCAACAAGCCGTTCGTAACGATCCTTTACAGCATTTTCACCTAGTCCTTCAAACTCTGCACCTTGATTTAAAATATTCGTCAATACTTGTACAAATGCGGTTCGAGTTTTAGTATCTTCATGGTATGCCATTGAAATCGAATATCTCAGCCCAGAATCTACATTGGCACTCAGAAGTTTTGACAACGCTAATATCGTGTAATCTTTTAACGGACCCAGATCTTTTACATATTCTTTAGACTATTGGAAAAATTTTTTAAAAAAGGTTAAGATTAATCGTGATACTATTTCAAAAAGTTTTTTTTTATTTTGCATACCTTCGAAAGCAACATTTGCAAATCTTCATTATTTTTTGCGGAATGCGTTCCGCTATCGATGGCCTAAATTCAAAAAAAAAAATTCAAAATTTGATTTTCACTAAATTTTACAGATTCCTTTTTTTAAAACTTACTTCTAAAATCCTACAACGATTCAATAACTTTATAAAGAAATTAAAATATTTTTGAAACAATCTCGATCTAACTTGGCTCAAATCTCCATCATGAATTATTTCACTGGGTTGTAGAGGTAACTGATGCAACAATGCAACAATTGTTTTTAAACATGCTTGGTCCAAGTCACGGTGCATACGTTCATTTCTGTTAGCACCACCACCCATGCCTTGTTCAGAACCATTCTGGCTGTCCGGTTTCTTTTTTAAAGAAAAAATGAAATATGTAAGCAAAACATGAAATAGTGATTAAAAGCAGTCAGCATAAGAAAATATTACCACATTGTAATCAGAAGTCCATTCAATAATAATTTCCAATAACCTATTCCTTAATTTAATTTCCATCCTCAAACTCACATAATCCTTTTTTTCCATTAATAATTCTACAAGTATACACATTCGTTTTTTAATCTTTAATGAATATGGACTAGCACTTAGCCTATTCAAATACCTCGCAAAAGAAAGTACTAAATTCCCAACATCACATGCATACAAATTTTCAGATAGATCATATATCCTTTCCAATGTTAATTTTAAAACTAATATCGCTTGTTCAACGAATAATGTAAATCTCTCATTTGGGGTCGCTTGCCCATCACTATCAAAAAAATGAGACACAATGGAATCTAGATGTTGGAATAAAATCACATATAAGCGAGGGCTTAATTCGCTACCAAGAATGTCCTTAACACTTTCACGGACATAATTAGAATCGCTCACGAGAAGATTGACCATCTCTTGAACATATTTTTCAACCATCGCGTAATAATCATTGGGTGAAACAGAAACACGACGAGAAAATTCGCCAAAGCGAGGATTTGTGTTTCGTAATCGTTCATGTACACAACACCCTCCCAATGCTGAAAGAAATCCTGTATAGTTTAACCATTCAGTTAATCGGGCCTATAATAAATATGAATTAAAAAGAGATGAGTAATACTCGTTAAAAAAATGAATAAAATAAAATAAAATAAATAATTTATTTATTAAATTTTATCCACGCCATAGATCAAATAACAATAGCAATTCATACAATTTTTAAAGGAGAATAAAAATTAAATTATTTGTTTTTATACACTTAGTACCTGTTGCAAGAGGTCTTGATTCTGTTCATGAACAGCCTTTACAATTAATTTTGTTAGGAATTGCCATCTAGACCAAGCTTCTTCCCATGCACCAAGATTACCAGCATTAGGCTGAGTCATTGATCTCAGTAATTTCCTAATTCGTCTTTGTTGAGCCATTCTACCAGGTATGGGATATGGCACAGTAGACAACTCTTTGTAAATGTATATATTATCAACGATAGTCATTTGTGAAGGTGGAAACTCTGGTGGAGCTTCCATATCATTAGTAAGACTTTCAGAAGTAAGTTCAGCTTCCAAACATAATTGGCCAAAACAATTTACAGCAGTTAAACAAATTTCAGGGTCTGGAGAGCATAACATTACTAGCAAGGCACTTTCTAGTTTTATGCTTGAAGTATGACGAAGTGCAACATTATTATTTCCTTTCAATTGTTTATCTTGCATTTTCAAAAATTCGTTACGACGCACTAATAATTGTGATAATAAATCCAACATATCTTTAGCAACAGTGTCTCGCTCTTTTGAATCCAATATCAACTTTGCAATTGAAAGAATTATTTGAGAACTATATGGATTTTAAAATAAATGAGAAATATTAATATAAATTTAATACCGTAAATGCATGATAATAAATATTGGCAATTTCTATTTGTACACGGGAAATATAAAAACCAAATGATATCTCAAAATTTCGATTATGAATCACATTTTTGCTTCTAACAAAAAAATTTCTTGCGAAATTTGGTATAACCTATATCTCACCCCAATTCCAAACCCACCATTACCCTACTCATAAGCAAGGGTTTAATTTTCGTTCGTAAAAATGGTTTTGATTGGCATGTTACGCGAATTTGCAAATTACAGAAATAAAGTACAAGATAGAAGAAATATAGTAACCAAAGACCACAGTCAAGAAAATACAAATAAGGAAAAGAT